AGATTACATTTAAGCTAACAGATGCCTTCAAAACTTTGTCATCCACATCAACTTCAGTACTTTTGAAAACAGGAGCTAACTATTTTAGATGTCATAAATCAGAGTTAACTTAGCTTAGCAACTGTATACAGGCTCCAATTACAACTGAAGAAAATCTGTCTAACTGAACCCAACGTCATTCCATAAAAGAAAAATACATTATAAAGTAGCTGGTCATGGTAGAAAATGTTTTGAAGACTGGCTACACAACATCAACTATAACTATCAGTGCTACGTCTGAATGTCCTGCTTTGTGAAAAAGTTCCCTCTCCTAGTTTTCTTTGATCATACCTTTAGCTCTCCTTCCAGCTTTTTTATCATTTTGATCCCACCAAACTCTTGAAACAAGGAAACAAGTCGTTTGAAGTCGCTGATATATTCTTTAAAAAAAAGTGATTATTTTTTGTAGTAATAAAGAAAAGAAAAACAAAAAAATAACAAAAATGATTGATTATCTTGATTATCTATAATAGCTGACCTGCTTATTTAGGTTGCCCTGCATCAATAATGTCATGGGCACTTGTAGTTTGAAAGAGAAAATGCACTTGATATTTAACATCATCAGGGCCTTGACCTTCTCTATCATATTTTTATTATGCAGGTATTTCTAATACAGGACCTGGCACTGGACAGTGGAGCAAAGTGCAGCGGGATTCATTTCACACCCTTTACCTAGTAAACACGTCTCATCCTGCCTTCGTGTTCTCAAATGAGTGTCTTTACATTCACATCTATTTTGGTGTGGAACATCCAGAGTGTAATTCTGACCACGCATCAGCTCTATGAAGGTTTTAACCCTCCCTTCACATGTAGACTAAGTTATCAAGTTCTTGGAAGCGGTTATATGGGTATGAGTTGGAGAGAGGAGGTGACGAAATCCTGCAAACAGGGCGCTTAGATGGAAGAGGACAGATTCATCATGTCATGTGTTGTGATAATACACTTGCATCCACTTTGACAGAAATGAGATACAGAATGATTATTTTTATTTTATAGTGTTTATTATTTTCAATTTTTAAGACACAGCTGTTTGGAAAGTTAAAGGTGAAGTTGGTGATTTGTACTGTAGACCAGAGAATAATGGTCAAAGCAGGACTGCATCTGTGAGGCTGCAAAATATAAGAACAAATATCCAGACAAAGTAGCTATCACAAAATATGTAAACGTATAGAAAATTTGTTTAAACTGTTGAACGCACCTCAGAGGGCGAGATGTTATCACCAGTGTGTGACAGCAGAAAGCCTGGCAAAAGTTTTGCTGTTCAGAATGTGTTTATGACTTATCATCAAATCTAATTTCTCCTGACACACAGGAACTTATAAATATAACTGAGGTCTTTCTCAGATTTAATAAGTGGTGAAAGACAATACGGCATCCACTGACTACAAGAAACTACTATTTGAACTCCAGATTTATGCTTTTTGCTACATTTCAGAGAAGCATGTACTTTTGCAAACCCCACCCTTTTTTGACACTTAGTCAAACACAAGTAGATGAATTTTATTGGGATTTCTTGTAACAGATCAACTGAAAGTAGTGCATTATGGTATGTTTCATAGTGGAGTAAAAATAAGTCATGATTTTCACATTTTTATAAATAAAACAAAAAATTGGCAGCCTCCCAATGTAATAAAAACCCACTTCTACATACCGACACTTTAACCCATTTTTCTTTGCAAAATAACTCAAGTTTTGTCACATGGGATGAAGAGAATCTCATCATTCATTTTGAATTTCAGTTCAGAATATGTGGCATTATCTGATGATATATATTAATATATACTCTCTTCAAAATCTCAACTGGAACTGATGTGTAAAGTAACTGAATTATAAAATGAGGACACTGGATACACAAAAATGCTAGTCTCTTGATATGTGATGCTGGTAGACAACTGCAAAAATCATATGCAGGAAAAAAGTTTGTGAGAACAAACAAATGTATGGCATAATTTTGAAAAAATGCTTTTGTAACATTTTTGCACAAAAATGAAGTCTAATGAGCTAAAGTGGTGTTCATTAAAGGTGCACAAAAAAGTTTACTTAATGTTTTTCAAATTTCACAAACACGATTCAATATTGTTATTCAAACAACCCCCTATAATACTTTGAATAGCCTTTAATATGATATAGAGGACTTTTTCTGCAATGAAATCCTAATTTTGGATTGAAAATTTGCATTCTTGGATTATAGCAGAAAAAATTCTCCATGTTTTGAGTCTTGTTCTCCTTATTTTCATAAATTTTGGTGATAATTCTTCCATCTGTTGCATCGAGTTTGTTGTCATAATTTAGTTTGCTGAGCGTTACTTAACAAAAGGAACCAGTTTGACTCTCTTGCTTCTGTTTAGCCCTCTGGCCATATTTCCAACTGCCCTATTGAATTTGTCGACAATGAAAGTTCTTCACTTCTTCATGTCCGTCTTTAATACTTTGAAGGTTTGAGGTCTGTTTAGCAAAAAATAAATTCATCAAATACATATTGAAGTTTAACTTTTGACATGTTTTGTTTTTGGTCCCGTTTTCCTCCTCAAAACTAAAACGTTACTGTCCCTCATAAGTGAAATGCAAACCTTAGATTGTATGGCATTTAATCTAGAAAAGATAATACCAGTTTTAATAATATTTGACGGTTTTGAGTTGTGCATGTGATACTATGGCATGCAGATGTATGTTAAAATGTTCTCTGTGTTTTGTACATTCTGTTCCATCTCTTTTAAGTAACACTCCAGAGGATGAGAGTGTTTTACTGTCGCCACCTTCTGGTGGTAAAGAGAAATGTGATGACAAATCTACAGTAAAAGAATCAACTACCTACGGAAAACACAAAAAGTGCATCTACAAAAATATATTATTTTAAAAATAGCATAGTATTTGTTAAGATTTAAGTAGAATTAGGTCATTCTCATTCTTCAGTCATTCAAAGCTTCTTGCCAAAAGTTTGCAATTTCAAAATAAGACAAGACTTAAATTAATAACTATTGATTTGATCTATTGTGAGGAACTTCTGCAGAAACAACACGTCTTGTTGAGAAGGAAAATATTTAGTTAAAACATGCAATTAAAAAAACCTATTTTAACATTCACAGAAAACATCAAGATACTGCTTTCATATCCATAAAGATATTTGGCACTGGATTTTCTTGACAGTGACAATAACAATAACAATGATAATAATAATAATAATAATAATAATAATAATAATAATAATAATAATAATAATAATAATAATAATAATAATAATAATAATAACAATAAGAGCAGAATAAATTATAAGAGTTACAGAATTAAGATGATCAACTTAAATGTGTTCAAGAAATAAAGTTAGATTCCGTAAATACTGATTGTTAGTCTGACTTTAGCAGCTGCATGTCCAAGCTGAATTTTAAGCAAAGGCAACAAGATTTGAGTAGTATTTCAATCCGACTTGAGAATATACATTGCATTGTGTGACACTGGGTAAAAAGACATTGTTTCCCCCCCAAAAGATGCTTCCTCTTTCAACATCACCAAATCCAATGTGAATGTGTCAAAAATCTCTGATCTCTGGAGCCATCTGGAGTCTGTCTGAGTCTCTTAGCGTTTAATCTAGAAAACAGAGGAGTTGTGTTAAAAAAAAATAGACATATTATTATTTAAGATTTATTTACAAAAACAGACATGTTAACTGCTTTTTGTACTATTTATGTAAATATTTTCTGTGCCGGGGTTGAAGTACTGTTGAAACAGTAACTATTGTTGAAATTGTCCTTTTAAAGCATGAAAAGCATAAGTGGGCCTTATGGCAATAAAAGTGTCAACATGCTGATAAACTTTGATAATAACACATCTTGAAGAACTCTCTTTTGAAACAGGTACATTTTTGACAAATCCATATAAAGTGCAGAACATTGCAAACTCTAGTTTGTTTTTTTTACTTTAAAGAACGCAAGTACTTCCATAAGTAAGCAAGTACTTTATGAGCTTGTGTTTTTAGGGTACTTTAAAGTTCCCTAAAATTATAAGTAGGCCATCCACCAACTCACTCTGCACTGTCCTGTGTGTCGGCTTTGATAAATCATTGGGTGTGACCTTTATTTGCTGAGTGAAACCTGAGCAGCCCAAGCAAACTGGCTTCCCTTCAAATAAGCAGCAGATGTGCTGAAGTATTTGTGTTGTTTACTCACTTGAATGTATTATTCATTTTCAAATGATGGATCTGTTTGACTTAACAGCTTCATCTCTACTAATCAGTTATCAGGAACCGGACAACAACACAAGTTGGATCCTATTTCTTTGCTGGATAACCAACTTTAAAGTCAGTTCTTTCTTATGGTGAAGCAGCAAGAGGATTAATTTATTAGCTTTTACCACAATGAATACAACATTTAAGTGCAACACAAACATCTAATTAATCAGGATGAATTGAGTCAAAAAAGCAAAACTTTGCATAGTTCTGGTGAAATACATTCATTCGTCGGCGCTTTATGCATCTTTATCTAACAGAACAAGTCAGCCATCTCGGGTTGCCAGGTGTCAGAGTGAGAAAAAAAAAAACTCACTGCACACCTGAATCTCATCTGTGAAAAGGACGATGAGGAAGAGGCCATGTAACAGAAACACGGCGTGAAGGTGAGTTTCCATAAATACACAGTTTTCCTAAACACAACTCAGACTCAAAAAGACTTAGCAGGATTTTATGTTTGTGTCGAACACAATTTAAGAATCCATATGAAGTTGAAATAAAGGATAAATGAACATTTCAGGTTGTCTTTACTAACATACCCATGTCTGTAATTAGCTCTTGTGTGTGGAGGAGCCATCCTACCAAAGTTGGCAGACAATACAGCTCTGGTTCTGCAAAAAGAGACCCTCTAAAATATAAATGAGGAAATCCACACCTGTTTCCAAGTAACCAAGGCAGGTATAATGTACTGTGGTGAATGCCAGTGCATGTGCATTCACACTTGTTTGGCTTCGTTTACGAGCAACACGATTTCCTAGTTTTACCTGTGCAGACACATTGTGAGAACGGCAGCTCCTGCTAACCTGTTTGTCCTGAAGAAATAGACCAAATCTGATCAAAGGAAGACTATGAAATTACTCCAATCTTCATTCTGAAGAGGTTTTCTGTGTTTACCGCCCGCTGAAAGTTTTCCCACATGGAAACAGGTCTGCTGAGGACCAGCTGAGACGTCCTGAAGCTGGAAGTGGAGACTTGGTGGAGGGTGGGCGACTGGAGCGACAAACGTCTTCACAGGTGTTTCCTCAAAGCCTTGAGCATCAGTTTGTGAAAACATGAATCCCATGTGGAAGGTTTACAAAGGCAAAGTGATGAAGACTCTGAATCCTGAGTATGAGGAGGACACTGCAGAGGAGGTAAAGGATTTACACACAAGTATGAGATAAATGATCAAATCTGAGAAATCTCACATGATTAACACCAAGATCGGGTCACTTGTTTTATTTTTGTAATATTGGAAACGAAGTCGGATACATCTTGCAGGATGATGTCCTTTCGATATGAAAGAAACTTGATGACAGATGTTACCATCTTTTGTTTTTCGTCTTGTGCATTTTTACACAAGACGATATGTCTGAGATATTGAAGTCTCAGACAATAAATATTGTCTGAGACTTCAGGCATGGACATATTAGTTTAGAAATTCTCATTTTATTTTAACATCATTGCATTTTGAGTTGTCTACTGGGGTTGAAAATGATTTATATTTTGTAACTAGAAAAAAACTAAACAAAATAATTAAAAGCTTAAGCAAGAAAAAAAAGTATTATCTTTAAAATCATTTTAGGAAATAAATATTTTTTACTTTTAACCATCAATTTATCTACAGGAGGTAAACTCTGAGGCTACCCTAAGTGTGGAAACTACTTCTTGCAAAAGAGCTACAACTTTCAAATTTCCAAAGCATCTTAGGCACTTTCTCAAGATCATCTCTTTAGAAGAGTTTTTACATTTTGAAGAACAAAATGCTTGTCTATTTCCAATTGCAGCAGGTTTAGTTCTTGCTGGAATTGCTGTCACTGGAACAGACGGTGCTGTGCTGACCCAGTTCACTGCAGAGCAGAGAAATTCGATCTCAGTTTGGAGCTGAGCAAGCGGATTAGTTGGCCTTCCAGTGCCTGACGGGATGAGACAGATAGCCAACTCCTCACCGCACACTCCGATCATATCAGCTGACATCTTCAACTTGGGCTCTCATTGAAATGCTAGAGTTCCTGTTAGGACGAAATAATACATTGCATGTGTGGAGAGAGTTTACAGTTTACAAATCCTATTGCTAAACTGACTTAGCTCCTAGCAAGACTTAGTAAGTCAGTTTAAGGAAGGTAAAGCACATTTTCTGCCACAAGGCAGTTCAAAGTGCTTTAGAAGGAAATACAAACAAAACAAAATAACCAAAATAAAGACAAAAAGGTAAAAGTACAAAACTAAATATTAGTTCCCCATGTTTATTAAGATTAAGTCCATAATTTATAAACCAAATTCTCTGGATCTTAAGAACTTATTTTTTTATCACATTATGCAATTGTGTGACACATTGCATAGTGTCACACAATGCAATGTATATTCTTGGAAGACAACAATTAATGTGTGATTCTAAGAAGAGTTTACCACAGGTTCTGCAGGTTGCAGTATTCAGAATGCACACTAGATGGCGGTGTCTGTACAGAAACTCTTGTCTGCGGCATTAATTGAAGACTGGAAGGTGGAAAGGTGAAGTACATTCATTTTGTTCAATGCTGTTTCAGGTCACAGAGGTAGAACATGACATGAGTCCAATACAGGAGGATGAAGGGCCCAACGCTGTCTCTCAGCTGGCCAGAAAGGTATGCTATCAGCCAACCAGAGCACTGATAAATGTCAACATACAATAACAAGTCAGTGCAATACCTGTCTTGACAGGAAATATAATTAAAGCTCCTCTTTGAGTTTCTAAGCAATAGGGTCTTTGTTTTTTTTAGAAAACTAGAAATATATCCTGTCCTATCTTATGAACTTTGACCTTTGCGTGTCTGCTTTTTCAGATGCAGGGGGCCGGGGCTAAAAGCTGGAACAGGTTTTCGTCTCTCTTCAACAAAGAGGATGAGCACCAGCTCCTGGAGGAGACCGAGTGCCCGCCTGTCGCTGACCAGTGAGTTCAGAGCGTATTTACGTTTCAGCTTATTGGAGTCAAAATCGGAGGCGTTTTTTGCATGACTGGTTAACTTTATTAATGTAAAGACTGTAAGACCTTTTGTATGAAATGTTTCTCTGAGGCCCTAAGATGAAGAGTTAATAAAGTAATTTTATCATTAAAAGAAAATCTCAAAAGAACTTAATCTTTATTCCAAATATATTCAGTACAGTTTGTCTGCTTCAAGATTAATAATTTCTCATGAAATTTTTTAATTTTGATTATATCCAGCCATTTTTTAAAATCTAAATTGGATTTGATACATTATTGAAGCACGAGGTCAATGACACCCATGACTTTCCTGAACTTTCAGCCCTCTCGCAGTAAAACCTGAAGAACCTCCTCGACCGACCAGGCGCAGTGGATTCTGGGATAGTTTTGCAACCAACTTTGCTGCAAAGAAACAGGCCGAAGCTGCTGCTGCAGCTGCAGCTGCAAATGAGGGTGTGGCAGAGTCAGGTGAGGAAGGAGCGACTCAGGCTGCAGGGGAGGAGCAGCAGGCCGGCCCGACTGAGGAGACGGAAGCAGGAAGCAGCAGCAGCAACAACAGCTTCTCTAAATATGTGACGCTGGGAGGGAGCGGCGAAGACGCCTCCTTTAAGTGGAACTTTGTTACCAGCAAGCTGGCAGAGCTGAAAACCAAGGGCATGGTGAATAAGACCAACTGATCGCTACAAAGATGTCTTCTAACATTCTTATAAAATATTAGAGTAAATTATATTTAGTTTTACTTTATTTCATTATAATCCCATTTGATTGTTTTCAGGTCTTAAATATAAAAAGCCATTAAATTTTTTTTTCAGCTGATGAACCATAAAAGGTGGAATGTATAAACATATAAACATAGTCTACTTATTTAAGAAAACTTAAACGTTTATCCTGCAACAATTGAATTTGTGCCTCAGCAATAGGGCAGGTGAACTGTACATTCCTCTCTGCAAAGTGATGCTTTCACCCTTTCACGATGTGAGGTAAACAGAGGTTTATTGCTGTCTTCAGTAACACTTGAAAATTTTAAAATGGATTTTCCACCACAGTGCTTCTCCAAACAAGACAAAAGGGGCCCCATCTACCTTTCAACAAATCTAACCGAATCTGTAGTTCAGGAGAAAACTGGATTAAAAGATTAAAGGCAGCGATAGCTGGATTAGCCGAGGACCAGATCACTTAACCTGTTCACAGAGAGAATTACAGCTCAAAGGTCTTTAATTTTGGTAAGATTCTTAATATGGGCAAGCATGTACTATGAAATTCTTCCTTTGTGATGTGAAATGAAAGACTAAAATGTGTGTTTGGTCGCAAAATCTGAAACCCTGACTTGAATTTTCTAATCTTAGACTGAGACTGAAATGTGCAATGTGTGATTTTTTTTTTTTCTTTTTTTTTGTGACAGGGGAAATTGGCTGATGTTCTTATTTTGGTGTCTTTTGGGTTTTAACTTGTATGTTTATTTTGTTTTTGGTTCTGATATGACAAAATAAAGACTGTTTTTCCTGAAAGTTTTTCAGTCTCGTTTAAAAAGATCTCTAAAGCACAACCATGCAAAATTTCCTTGGATGTTTTGTGACTGATCCAAAGTTGTGCTTAAATGTGAAGTAGAAGATTCACAATCAAGTCTCCTCAACTTTGCACATACAAAGAAATTTTGCAATATGTTGCAAACATACAGTGTGCCTATGATAGCCTTGACATAAAACCTTTGAAATTTAACCTCTGAAAGCTATATGTTTGATCTTTTTAAATATTTTATACCCCATTTAGTGTCTCTACAAAATTCAAGTCAAATGTACCTAAATACAAATGCCTGTAAACTTTATAGCATCTCTGCAGCTCTGTTTCCAGTTTAGCTTTTTAATTAGATTTTAAATAGTTCTACTAATTCTTTTTTCAGTTATTTTCCATATCTCAAATATTCAAAAAATAGGACTCCAAAGTTGAAAAGTTGCTACCATTGACCAGCAGGGGTCGCTATTCGCTTTGAGATGAGAAAACCTTGCTCAATTCTTTGTTTTCGCTGCCTTTTCCTCCACTACTCGTAGAAACGTATGTTTTATTATAAACTTTTAATACAAACCGCTTTACTTAATCTCCCTCGGGTATCAAAGCATATATTTTTTTCATTTGAAACTGATAGTATTGTGTGTCAGAAATAGATTCCCTCATTTCCTGTTTCCTTCTATTGTATTTCCTGTTTTTATTAACCCCCATTTCCTCCCTAACTGTAAGGTGTTGATTCAGATAAAACACAGCTTCCTTTTCCCTATTTGGGACCTTAAGGTTTCCATTTGAATTTGATATCTCACCTTTAAAAATAAAAGCTAAACAATTCGAGCAAATGCACCAGAAGCCCAGGCTGGTCTTTTTTTAGCCATTTCCAGCATCAGTCAGACTGGAAGCTGTCATCATGGATTCTGTGAGACTCACTGAGCCGCAGTAGCTCTGTCCACACTTTCCTACAGTTGTCAGTCCCACTTTGAATCACAACAGATCTTTCCCTGCTTTCAGCTAAGCAACATGTTATGCATTTGGAACTTCTTTTTTTGAGTGCCGGTAACTACTTATATAATAAGGTTAGAGGAGAATCAATTTCCCCAAATATTGTGTTGAACTACATATTTCAGTTATATGACATAAAGCAGAAAAGAGGTTTGCAGAACGTGGACAAGTCAGAAGTGAGACATAGATTTTTTATTTTTTTTTTTTCCAGGAAAAGAGGCATCTATGGAAGATCTACAACAATAAGCAATTAAACCAAAAACGCACTTTCTGTAAGATTTGGAAACACTTCACACTCAAGATTTATGAATAAACTGAAAATATCTTAAAGGTTCAACATAGAAAAAAACTAAAACATGAAAAATCCTCTTCATTAATCTTGTCCAGCAGCATCCGAGACAACAGCTGAACTATTTTATCTACTTTAGATTTATTTGAATAACAAAGATATTTGTGGAATGCATTGCACCCAATTTAAAATTTAGATGAAATGCATGTGTTTGACTGTTTATTGTTTGAATGGAAAGTTGAACTTGTGTAAAATGTCAACAAAAATGTATGCTTGATATAGAGGAAGCAAAATCCAAATTTAACTGTAGTGCAAAGAGAACAGAAGAGGAATAACAAGAGCAGCTCCATATCACTCATAGTTTCTTCAGGGTTTTGGAGATTGTGAAAATGAACAAAACTGAAAATAAAAAAATAAATAAATGAAATACAGATCAAATTTAGGTTTTATTAAGTTTGTCTTGTTGTGCTTGTTCTTTTGCTTCTGTTTTTCAATGTTGCATGTTTCTCAGTTGATTTGTTTTTCCACTGGGTTTCATTTTACTAATTACAAAACCTGAATTCTTTTGGTCGCTATTGTCTTTGTTTTGGTTTTTTTTTTTCCTGCCCGGTTTTCTTCTTAGACTCACTAGTGGTTTTCCCGCTAGTGAGTCACATCTTATTCATGTGGAAAGTGAGCTCCATAGTTCAGGACACCTGCTGCCTCTAGAACCACTGTTTGAAAGACCCACACCACTTGAAGGGTAGAGTTGACTTGATCACTGCAACTGTGGTACATGGACAACGCACAAACTAAAATCATTTACGCTGCTGGATAATGTATCGTTAAGTTATTTCAGAGTTCATTCATAAAAAACAGGCCTTGCCGCTGACATATTGATCCATCTAACCTAAACAAATGAAGCAAGGAGGAATTTTGCAGGATGTACCTGCTTTGATTTAATTTCCATAATTGTACCTTTTGGGGTTTTGATGTGTGGCATAGATATTCATGGAAGTTGCTTCTAACCTTTACCATTTAGCATTTGAAAAATCTATTGTTAACATACACTATATTGCCTCAAAATAATTGAATTCAGTCACCAGCTACAGCCCTCAGGCCTCATGTGGGCTCCAGATTAGCTCCAGATCTGTGCATAGAAAGCCTTTTGGAAAGGATTTCAGCTGCATCCGAGCCTTAAGATGTGATGCAAAGTGTAAACTTTGAAGCAAAGAAGAGTTAGAGTGTGTGGGACTAATTTTCATGGGTTGGGCTCAACACCTAAGATGCAATGAAGAAACTGTTCCTGTTATGACAAAGTAACTCCATTAAGACATGGTAGAGTAGAACTGATCAGAATCCCAACTTCAACCTGACTGAGGACTTCACTTCCAACCAAAGTGTCTGATGTTTCAAAATGTTATTCTAGAAGAAGGGTCAGAAATTTTAACAAATACACTTCTAAATTTACAGATAGTTTAAGCGTTAGTAGCAGCAAAGGGAGGGAAAGATGCATAGTCTTTGCAATAAAAACTGGATGTCAAAGTCGAATTTCAATATGAAAGAAAAATCCCAAATAGCTTTAGAAATGTACACTACATTAGAAAGTGGTAGGAGAATAACTGAAATAAAAGAGAGGCCGCTGTCAAATTAAAGCATTTTTTTATTTATAGCCTAATATTAAATTTACTTGAGGATAGTAGAGTTCAGAATAAGTTTTAACTTAGTTTTTTGCAGATAGTATGTGGATGGATTATGTAACAGAGAAAACTGAGATCCAACAGCTGACGCAAAATTTCAGTTTAGTTGCACACAAATACAGTAGACAGGCCAAGTTTCTAACTCTAAGTTTTACAGTCCTGTCAGAAAGATATGTTACAGCCCATATTTCTCTCCAAAGAGTTTTTTTTATTTTTATTTTGTTACTGTCTGTTCTCAGTGCACAGATATTTCCCTTTTCACAGAAATACTATATAGAGTTTTCTTAATTTCACAAAAGGCATTTAATTTCACAAAAGGCATTTAATGAGGTAAAAAATGCAAACAATTCTTTTTTTTTTCTGTCCTTAGACTTGTTTTGTCTCTAAAGTTTGAGACCAGAAGTTAGACAGAGAGATGATTTATAGGTAGAATTATGGAAATGTCTGCAAAAATCAAAGCTGCTTCCATCACTGAGCCCCACAGGTATGTCTGGCTTCACTCAGGTGTGACATCGTTGTGGTGGGCGTCTCAACAGACACAGTGACTCACAGACTGGAGAACTGGTTGCATCTGGAAGACAACTTGCAGCAGCAAAGATCTTTTCACAAAAACTATGTTGGGAGATTCATTATAGTGACCTACCTGCAACTTTCCCACCTGTTTCAGGCGAGAGGGAGGAAACATGTCTGGGGAAAAGCCCTCAAACACTCGATGTATTCACTGTGTAGTCTAAAAGCACATAAGAATGGTGAAACATGTCTCGCTTGTTGCATACCAGAGGGAAAATTAAAGGTTTTATGAGCATTATACAAAATAATCAGCACAGTGCAAAAGAGAAAGCAGACAATTCCATTTCAGCATTGTATCTTACTGATTTCTGTGATGGAAAGCCCAATTATTTTGTTTTCAAAACTCTGTAAAACTGTCAGATTTCAATGTTAAACCTTTCAGTCATTTGTCTGATTACACATTATTTAGATATTCTGAACAACCAATGGATTATTCCAAAGCATAAAATGTTGCAGGCAGTTGGTAATCTGCTTCAAAGCAAGTTCCTAAAGTTGCTTATTGTTTGCATAAATAACTTAAGGATGTATATGAACGTATTCATAAATGTTTTTCACTTCTAAATGAATTATAACAACTTTATAAGGCACATCTTGCTAGTAGGGGGCTGGACCCTTCAGAACTGGCTAAATGTGTTGTTCAAGAAGGCATTAGAAATGTTTCTCATAGATTTTGATCCATATTTAAATGATGGCATTAGAGAGTTTCACCACTTCCAAGTTGTTGTATTAGATAAGGATCTGGTGAATGTGGAGACCAATGATTAACATGTTCAAGAAACTAGTTTGAGATAATTTGTGCTTTCTGACATCATGCAGCAGGAAGTAGGTGGGTACAATGTTGTATTAAAGGAGTGGAAGGGATCAGCAACAAAGCTCAGGTAGGCTCTATTGGTCCTAAGGAAACCAAAAATGTGCCAGAAATCTTCTTCAGGTTTGACCAGAGATGTCCACAGCATACCCTGCTTGTACTGAGTGGGTACTGGGACAAATATGGCTTTTCTAACTGACATTAACAAGACATTTTTGTATACATAACTGTGGCTCAGTTTTGTAAACCATTTTCTGCAAACCTGAGCTCCTCTTCTTACACCTCCCTCAATCAGTCCCACCAGACTAGCGGCAGCAGCAAGTAGCAAACACCTGATGAAACTTTATAGCTGAGCTAAACATACAAAATACTCTGCATTTGCTCCTATTTGTAGTAGCAAAGGCATAATGAGAAGTATTGTGATGAAGTGCAGAAGTGTCAGAAGGAGCAGGAGCTTCTTAAAGAGACAGAGGCCCAATTTCAAGGCATCAAGTTGCACTATCAAATTTCTTTTAAGTTATGTACAACATTTTTGTGACAACTGAAGGCAGCATATGTACTTGATTGTGCTACAAAATGGAAAATACATCATACAGCCCTTTAAATGTTTTTCCATTTACAGCAATAACTCTAAAATCACAAAACTATGTTCACAG